TTTTTTTTTTTTTTTTTTTTTTTCTGAAGATTCAAATGCTCATATCTTCCTCGTTCCTCTATAATTCTTATAAAATTGCATTTAACTTAAAGAATATTAGAAGATTGAACAATAGAGAGTCGGTCGAGGTCGCTATTGCAAGAATTTGATGAGTGAAGGAGAACGGCTAAGTGGAAGTGGGAGAAGACCCATTGTCTGGAGATAAGGGACGATTGGTCTAAGTGAATCGATCTGACTAGACACACCGGTCTATGAGATGTTCAATCTTCCATATATTTATGTTTAGAGCAGTATACTATTTCTCTTATGACGATACATTCATCTATGAGATGTTCAATGCTATTATACAATGATGATTAGGAGTTTAAAAGTTCACCAACTAATCCTAATTGTGAACTCAACTCAGTCGCCGAAAGCTCGGATGACATTTTAGAACGGGCTATGATTTATGTGTGCTCTTTCAAAACTAATTTCCATTTACTAAACCTATCTGTTGTAGTACTTCTTATGAATTGGAAGAACTGGGATTTGAACCCTAAAAATGTATGAGCACAATGAGATGTGCGGTGGGGGGGTTTTCAACAACTACCTAAGATCATGACTAGATAACAAGGAATAAGGTTAAGGTAAAACAGATGGTTGATTAAATTTATTGGTTTCAAATTTTCCAGTAAAATCTATAAACTTATTTAAATTATTTTTACCTACAAACAAGATCATACATCTTATTATTACTATTAGTATTCATCTTTATATTGAGATCAATAGAAGTTATTTCATTTTTCATCTTTCCAAAACCTTTCTAAGCCATCATTCACAAAGTTACACTCAATATAAGGGTTAGGATCAATCCAAATATTATGAAGGAAAAGAACTAAGAATCTGAAGCTGGAGTAACCTCCACTACTTACATCATGACACTCTAATCAGTTCTAGTACAACAACACGTCTCCGCTGTTAAAACAAAGACCAGAAAATAAAATGGTAATCCAAAGCCAAACCGAACTACAATTATAAGCCAATTCAGGTGAATGTCATTTCTTGACTTGTTCTATTCCTACACCCATGAGACGTGAACTTCAAAAAAAGGAATATCTATTCACCCAGCAAATGCTGAAACAGTCAGATCCAAGACACCAGAAATATGTTAGCAACAACGAAAGCATTTGAACGTCAAAAATTACTCGAATGAGGTTTAAGCTGATATGCAATATAACAGATCGATATAAAAGGTTGTAGACTAATACAAAAGGGAAATGGAAACAAGATCCTAGTTAATGTAACATGAAAATTGTGAGTTCAATACAAAAGGGAAATGGAAACAAATAAGTCATGCAAACACCATTATTCCTTCAAAAAAACGACCTTATTTCACGAGTAGCTTTTACAAATTGCAAGCCAACAAGATACTGAACTACCTACAGTTATATTCTATTCCAAGATAATCACCCTGCGTTTTTACAGGATTGACGGCATACAACTATAGGTTATAAAGAAAATATTGAACTGACCACCGAAAGCCAATTCTCAAATTCAGTAGAAAGAAAATCTTAAAATGAAATTAACATATAATCCCTCACAAGTATCCTATACAAAGTACAATAGGTACACAATAAATGTTTTTTCAGGTCAAATTGTTCCAATTCCTCAGCCCTTAGCACTGCAAAATGAATTCCAGGCTTAACTAAGCAAAATACAAGAATTTACCTTACAGTGGAGACAACCTGCAAAATAGTAGTTCTTAATTCCAACCGAGCAACCTGATTAACGTTAACTACCATATGCACACTCCATAGCATGAACAATATCAGCTCCAGACCTCAGCTGGCTCAGTAGTAAAGAAAATATAAAAAGCTAAATGAAAATTGACATTTGTGGATCAAAGAACAGTCTAACAAATATTTAAAATCAGAAACCTCTTCAGTACAATAACAATAGCTCCTTGCTTCCAAAAAGGAAGTAACATATGTGAGGGGAATGAAGATGAACTACACATGAAAACGATTTGGAGATGCAGATCTCAGATCTGGATTTCAATATCATAAAGAAAAACACAGACTAAAACAACCCATGTTTCACAGTTCCCCAAAGCATAAAAAAATTAGCTATGAACCAAGATAGACCAATTTCTAGCAATAAGATAAGAAATCTAAATAGTAATCAGGTATTAAACCCTTGCAAAGTATAGAATTTTAGTTGGAATAATAGTTACCAAAATCAATGAAAGAGAATTAACCATAACTTAACTGTCTTGGGCAAGATCTATTAAAACTATTGGAACAAAAGAGTTTGAAATATTTTTTTGTCAACCATTGAGCTAGAGTTTACACAATTTTACTTGAAAGTACTAAAACTGATCCAAATATTTAAAACAAATCTTGAATAGATCAAAAACTACAGATTTAAAATGGAGCTTAAATGAACAGGGTCGAAAACGTCATTTGCATCAGCTCCTTAAACTTCAGAGAATCACCTGATCAGTACAAAAATACTGACGCACATATGAGTGAGATCTGCACAATGAATAAGAAGGCATGAAAAAATAATTTCAGAAAACAAATTTTTTAGAACGTCCTTTTCAAATTGCTTAATGTAGCTATTTAAATTCAGGATATCACGTGGAGAAGAAAGAGATCTTAGACATTAGAAAATTTCCTTTAGTTATGTGAGGTGAGTCAAAACTATCAGAAATAAAGATTAAGTATTGATCAGATGTCAAAGAAAGAATTTAATTTCAGAAAAACATTTAGTAGTGAAACAAAAGTATTACTGACTATAAAAGAACTTGAGTAGACATTTGTGAACCAAAACTAATTGTGGCAACACATGAAAATGGGCGGGGGGTTGGGAGTGAGTATAGTACTAAAACATGAGAAATGAATTGGTTTATAGCATGCTAATGTGACCAAAATGTTAGTTCTCAAAGAAAATGGAGGAAAAGACACAGAAGGAACTGAAGAAAAAGAAGAAGAAAGCATTAACTTTAACACTGAAGCTTTGAATTGAAAGAAGCAAAAGCTTCGCCCTACAATTTTACAAACGAATTTAAAGCATTCTATTACAATCCTGTATGGAATGCTTGGAAAAGGACTCTAAATGCTGCTAAATAGTGGATCGTAGTTAAATAGTACTTGCATATAAAACAGTGCAACTCTAGAAAGCTTTCAACACCAAAAAGTAAGAGATCAATTATATCATCCTATTATACTAGCATCAAACAGTTAGACAAATCATTAATCAACTTAGGTTTTGGATCAATTCCAAGAACTAAAATGCAACAGAATAATACTACCAGAACTAATATGCAACACATACAAATATAAAATAACCACATAAAAACACGTTGCTAAAATCAAAATGCAATTAAAAAAATGCTACAGAACTAAAATACATAATTACAATTAGCTTATCGCAAAAATCCCATAGCTACTACCTTACGTCTATGAATTCAGGTGAAAATATTAATGAAATCAGCCTACATACAACCAAGGAAAACAGATGCCACATTGTTAACACCTTAAAGTCCTGTCATCAACTGAAGTATTTTAACGAACAAATCTTTTTCTCTATGAATAACTACTTTTCGTTTAATTTAAGGTTTTATCATTCTATAAATATCCTTCACAGCTCAATTATTCAAAGATTTGTTAGTAGAAAAGTCATGCAATAAATATTATGTAAAACAAAAAATTGAGTACAACGAGAGTGAAACAGTACCGAATCGAGGCACTAGTGCCCCATATAACCGCCAGGACCACCATACTGTCCAACTCCATGCTGCCCTCCTCTTACGGTTCCACCCTGTCCCATCTGTTGGTTTGGATATCCACCCTGCACACCGCTTTGACTTCCATATCCAATTACACCAGGGCTTATATTTGCTTGACTCCCATACCCACTTTGTACTCCAGGTCCGCCGCCTTGCACAGCTGGATTCAGCCCTGCAGCAGAACCGAGCGTCCCTAACAAATTAGTTAGTCCTAACCCAGCACCCTGACTAGCCAGCAAAGCAGTCAGGGCCTGGCCAAGAGCTGGGTTCAATGCTTGAGGAGGTCCTTGGTTGTAACCAACACCAGGCCCTGCAGGTGCCATCAGGTGCCCTGATCCAGATGCCGCCCCACCTGCATAATTCGGATTCTTATTCCTCTGAAACGGCGCATTTTGTACATGATGCTGGTGCTGAGACTTCCCTGGCTTGGGACCGTCGATGGCCCTCTGGCAATGCAACATATGACCCTCAAAGTTCTTGTGGGGCTCCTCCAAAGCCCTCTTAGCACTTTCTATCGTCTTGTACACAAATAGACAGAAACCTTTAGGCTTGCCTGTCACCTTGTCAAGCCCCAATGGTCCTTCATCAACTTCACCGAACTGGGAAAAGAAAGTCAGCAACTTCTGGGGGTCTACATCAGCTCCAACATTGCTCACATAAATCTTCCTCTGCGTATATTCCGAAGCAGGTGGTGCTTGAGGGGTTACTACCGCCGCACTCGACGATGGAACAGGCCCAACCGAAGCCAACTGACAGGCAGTCATCCTATTGCCAATCTTCTTCTGGGGTTCCTTCAGTGCTTTTCGAGCCCCACTACGCTTCTTGAAGAGGATGAAACCGTAACCCTTAGACTTCCCAGAGACCTTATCACACACAGCTTTGGAGTCCTCAATCTCTCCATATTGCTTAAACACGTTGTTCAAAGTTTCCGTATTGGTATCCCATCCGAGCCCGTGAACAAAAATCTTGCGGTGGGATGGGTCCGCATCAGCAACCATTCGAATTCTTCCATCCACATCCGCGTGCTTCTCAGCCGCTTCACGCAGCAGATTGATAAGCTGGTCCTTGCTGAAAGGCTCCAAGAGCTTTTGAATGGGCTCGTCGTCGTCGTCAGCAGCAGCAGTTGTAGCAGCAGCTGAGGAGGATGAAATATTAGGGGTCTGATGGTGGTTATCGACAGTAGTCTCATCGCCTTCATCTTCCTCCTCCTCCTCCTCCTCCTCGTCATCATCATCCTCCTCGTTTTCGTCTTGATCGCCATCATCTTCTTCCTCGACCACTTCGTATTCCGCTAGATCCTCATGAACGACGTCCTTGGCGGGTTCATCTTGGGGCTTGTTCTCGTCGAGTTCAGCTTGAGCTTGCTGTTGGAGCTTTTTGGGAGGCTCGGCCGGCTCGGAGGTTTTGGAGGAGTCGAGCTTTCGCTTTCTAGCCATGGAGGAGTAGAAGAAAAACCGAGGAGGAGATTTGAGGGGGTCTAGGGTTTTGCAGAGAACAGAGAAACACAGCGAGCGGGTAGGATGTGGAACCAATGTAGATGATAAGAGGATTAGGTCATGAGATCAGATATTGAGATATCACCAATTTTGGGCCTCTAGAAAATAATTAGGCCCAAGCCCAAGCCCAAGCCCAATTCTTTCTTTTGAGATAAGGATAATAACGTCATTCTCGCATGTTTTGTCCTCACGTACATACATCTTATGAAAGTTCCCATCCAACATATAATCGCTCCAAGAAAAACATGCTTAACTTTGGAATTGCTAAAATTGAGTCACTGAAAAGGAAGATACATCTTATTAGTGTAAGTAGTAACTTTAAGCTTTTTCTTAGTTATCCCGTCATTAAGATCTCTCTCATACAGATATGACCCTAGTTCATTTATATACCTCTCATTTTCTTGAGTATCACGTGCCCACTAGTTTTCACCTTGGTTCATTCTCAAACCTCACATCTTACTAGAAGAAGTATCACTTTGATACTATTTGTAAGAACTCATGTCTAGGATTCTGAATTCGCATTTGACATCTTATGGCATCAGCAGTCCAGTCCGCTACATCTTCTAGATATGGTCACTTTACTTTCTCTTCGCTTCTAAAAGTGAATAACATCCCCCCAAAGCAACATAAATTATTCTAACATTCTCACTCACATGCTTCCTAGAAAAATTTCCAAGAGATCACCAACATAAAATTTCTCCAACTTTAACTCTCTAGGTACACGATTGAAATTGGCTTTTGGAAATTTTGTCGTTGAGGAGGTTTGTAATCTTAAGATTATCCTAATCATCTCCATCTTCTAGAATGGAATTGATTAAACTGAAAGTCTCTGTACCTAGAAATAACTCTCGATACTTCTCTCTTATCTCATCATCTCATTCCTATGTAGCCCCCTCTATTGGTTGGTTTCTCAACCACACCTTGACAATGCAATGGTTCTGGTGTGTAGAGTCTTTACCTTACGAGCCAAAATTTTCAACAACTTTTTCTCATAGCTTAAGTCTTCTACCACATCCAGAGTTTCATAATTTTGAAGAGAATGAACTCGAATTAAAAGAAAAGTAATAAATACGAAAGCAAAAACTTACCTTTGTAGAAAAACTCTACCTAGCTTGAAAGACTTCTTGAAGTATTTCAATCATGCAAATTCTTTCTATTTCAAGTTCTTGATTCAAACACAAAACTCCCTCTTGGAGAATCTTTGTCAAATAATATATTTGCATATTTAATATATTAGGATATACTACCTTATCCAAATCATATTTAGATATTATAAAATAGCCTAATATTAATTTGAATCAAATTCAAATTTCAAATATATTGTTATTTAATGTATCAAAATTCATTAATTGATTTAATATTTAATTGTATCAAATACGATAAATATTTTTTTCTTTTTTAATAAATCTAATATATTAAATGTTAATTTGAACCTTCAAATTAATATATTTTTCCTCATTTATATTTAATATATCTAATATATTAAATATCAATAGGAATCCTTCAAATTTTCTTTGAAATAAATTGAATCTTACTCTGAGCTAACGAGGGGACTTATGGACCTACAAATTATGAGCTTGATATAAAATTAATTAATCAATTTCTTTTCATTAATTATAAGTCACTGATTTAAAGTTGCACTCTTATGCATTATGCATTGTAGGACAAGTTATGTCCATTGATATAACCATTACAAGCAAGTCAATTCTTCACAAGTTGTTCATAATTATAGCTAGGTCAAAATTTTGTTTTACCCCTGTAATTACATCTTTCACCTTAAGTACCACTAATTCTCTAATAAACAATTTGTTTATGATCCAATCATAAACCAAATCTCTCTCGGGTCAATGAGAGGGTGAGACCCATTGTTTAAGTTGAATTGACTAAAGAGTCATTTTCACCCATGTAAATTAAAGGACAAGCCCTCAAACCAGGAGTTCATAACTCACTCAGGATAAAGATCGAGTCACATATGATCATTATGTGAAATATTAATCTTCTCAATTAACAGATTTATAAAAAATGATTAAATATTTATTGGTCCAGTCATATACAAACTCATTGTATAGGATACCCCCACTTACATGTTTCCACATGAATGATTTGGATCAGATCATTTGTAACAATTACAAAGTGGGTCGTATCAATAGTGTTATCAGAATAAGACACCTAACCTTATCCATATACTATAAACTCTTTAGATTATTACTTGAACACGATACTCTTGTATGTCAATTACATACTGTTCAAGTTATATTAATAACCTTGGATTTTCATATGTCAACTACATATTGTTCAAGTTTATTGTAATAACCTTGGATTTTCATACAAGGATAATAATTAAATTAAATAATTAATTACGAGGCTTTAGAGCATAAATCCCAACATCTTTTCTTGACAAATAGCAGTGACTTACACCAAGGAGAAGCACTAGGTCTAATAAATTCTTTATCTAACAACTCTTGCAGTTGTGTATAGAGTGTTTTCAGCTCAGTTGGTGCTATACGATATGAGGTCTTAGATATAGGACCGGTACTTAGTTCTTGCTCTATTGCAAAATCAACATCTCGTGACAAAGGTATTCCTAGCAAGTCTTCTGGGAACTCATTCACAACTTGCAATGTGGCTAGGGAAGCTTCCTCTTTCTTGGTATCAACACTGGCTAGTATTGTCCACGCTTCGTGTTGGACCTTCTTTGCTTTCATCATTGATATCACCTTTGGTATAGTACCTTGACTCGTGCCCTTGAATTTGAATCTAGTCTTGGAAGGTGGTGTAAACACCACTTCTTTCTTGTAACAGTCTATGCTGGCATAATTTTTCGCTAACCAATTCATTCCTAAAGTTACATCATATTCAGTCACAACTACCATTAAATCGACTTCTATTTTAACCCTGATACTAATACATGGCTATATTTTACCCTATAAGCAGAAATCATATTCACCCTTACCAAAAACCTAGAAATTGATACATTATGAGTATATCGAGCCAACAAGCCGAGTCGCTGAGACAAGGAATTTGATGGAGCCGAGCCTATGGTTCGTACATGTGCGAGCCAAGCCGCGACTGTGCACGCGTGTGAAGTCGAAACTGGAGCTGCAAGCATGCGGATCCTGTATCCATTGAAACTTGGGTTGAAAGCGAAACACGGCCCACGGTCTTCGTCTAGATAGTGGGCTGGAACCTGAGGCCGAACGTGAAGGTTGTTGTTGTTCGTGGGTACCCGACCTAGTCCAAACACTCGTCTTCCTTACCCGAAAACTCGAAACCTTAACGCGACTTTTTCGCCTCCCCGATTCCAATAACGCGCAGCAACCTTCACCGATTTTGAAGAACACGCAGCTACCTCGACACTGATACACCTTACTTCCACTCGATTCTTCCTCGGAAACTTACGTAGCAACTTTACCCAACTAACAAACCGAAAATGTCGAATACTCACGTTGGTTCACAGCTCTTCACTAAAACAACTACTTGATTTTCCTTCTCGAAAACTCGCGGTTTACTGTTCTCTCAAACACACTCAGACGCAGGAGATAAGTTTGGAAGGAAATCGTTTCAAGACATGTTGAAAAGTTGTGCTTAGAGATATAAAAGGGTCTAAGAACGTTTCCCAATAAGGCAATAATTGTCTTGCCGGAAATTTCGCATTTTTCGATGAGAATATATGCTGCATTTACTATATTATCATGTCATTTTTGGAAATAAAAATCTGAATCGTTACAATTAACCACCACACTAAAGCCTATAGAGAATTCCCTAGGATCTGTATAAAAGTCTGAGAGGTTGTCATACTTGGACGAGCTAGTGATAAGATATCACTAGTAGAGGAAGCTTGACTTGGTCAGCTATAAGTTATTATGGGAGGTAGCCTACATGAAAATTAGGAGACTCACTAAATGATTAACTACTCTCATATAGCTTTACTAAACTTAGATGAGTAATCTTGTTCTAGCGAGCAACGTAATAAGGTGTCATGCTATGTTGAATGTCCGAGTTGGTCAAATGAGAAAGAACTACAGGGTTATCTTTTGTGAGACAAGAAGAACCATAAGGCTTATGTCAAGTTCATGTTATCTTCAAATGAATACTAGAGATAAAGGACATATCGAAAACGACTTTCTTGAGCTATTATTAATATTAAGAGAATCCAATTATGTATGTTAGTTTGACCAAGGCCTTATAGAGTTTAAGGAACTAACGAACTGAGAGTATATAGGACTTCTTTTATATGGTCATTAATGTTATCGTTGATTGCATACTAGCATACTCCAAGACGGTTGTGGATCACAAGGATCACCTAGAAAAGATGTTTAGGGTGTTAACGACGCACTAGTGTGTGACAGGTCCTTAAAGTGTTTCCACAAGAGTTGGATGATTCACGGATGGTGCTAGGTACGCCGCACAAGTTTGATACTAGCTCCATTGTGACGACGTAGTAACTAGACCGAAGCCTGAGTTTCAACAAACATCAAGAATGATAAAAATAAAAAAAATAAAAAAAAAATTAATTGAATTTGTGTGCATGTATTGCTCCCCCTAGTTAATAAATGGAATGAAAATAATTTTGTTGGAACTTTAATGAAGAGATCAAGTTGTTTCAAGTTATGAGAAAAAAATAATAATAAAAAATCGAAGGAAAATAGAGGAAAATCGAGAAACGGAGGGAATCTCGAGTTTTTGAAAACATAGGCCACGAAGCTACAAGGGACACATGTTGCGAAGTTGTTGGGATGCATGACAAGCAACAACGGCGAGAACATGTCTAGTTGAGGGCGTGCCACATCGAGAAAGTGCAACTTGACCCGATCTGCATCCAAGACGGCGACCCAAACCGATGTAGACGTTGTTAATGAAATTTATCCTTAAATTATGGTTTACCCTATGTATCATATTTGACTCTCTGTTATAGATTAACATCTTGTATGATTTATGATATTTAACCTTCCATTACGGTTTACCATGGGTATCATATTTGACCATTGATCATATGCTAATATCATTTTTCCATTTCCTTTATAATTTATTTGATTCGGT